CAGCAGGCACGCTCACCCAGGTACTAGGTATGTGTTGGTAAAACACTTCAACCTAGAAATGTAGCTGGTCCATGTTCAGCAGCTGTTTGTGAAACAGGCTCAGATATTTTTTATCCTATTATCCTGACACAGCTGGGTATCTGTAGTAGTGTCTTTAACCCTTTGCTTCAACTAGTTAGAGAAATGTAGCTTTTATGGATTGCATTTAAAGAGAGTGTTCATGTTGTCCCGAGTTCGGATGTTTGTTGGTTTGTTTTTTTTCAAAGGCACTGAACACGGAATTGGAAAGCAACTTACTTGCACTAGAGTAAAGCCCTCTAGTGGTTAAATGTGAGATGACCTCACCATGGAGGTTAATGTCTGGTAATAAACTAATCTTACAGCAAAATAGCATCCATATGTTCAGGTGTGCATAGTTGCGTACAGTGGAGTTTGCTTCAGATGGAGAATGAGTAAGTACTGCTGTCAAACTTTAGACTTATTAGGTTGAATCCCTTTAAAAATAAAAATGAACAGGTTGTTATGTAGGCAGCAGAACCTGTCAACCCTACTTTTTATAGATCTGTGCCTTCTGTTTTATGTTTCTCTTACTCCCTTCACACCAAGGCTTGTCCTCTTTCAGCATCCTTCATACCATGCCTGGCTAACTGACAGTAGCCTTGGCTAGGGCTAATTTAAAGCTCCATCTGTCTTGCCTGGGTAGTTAGTATGTGTCTTGATAGGATAGTGAGCAGAGCCTTTAAGATCTAAGCTGTCCCAGGTTTTCCTTCACTTGGGCATTGATTGGGTCTTCCTTCATTACTCAGCTCGTTTCACATAAAGCCTAAAGGAAGATGTGTCTTTTTCTTCAACACCTACAAATAAGAGGGGGCAGGACAGGTATTTTGAACGAGACTAGTTCACAGTACAATGATGTAAACACTTAAGACCAGCTAAAAACTATTTGTTCCATGAATCGATTTTTAACTAAAAAATTCCATGCAAAAACCATTTTATTCATGGGTGTGTTTATTACAGTTATTTTCAGGATTATCTGCTTTGTTGTGTTGCTGATGTAGATAAAGCCTCTGGTACAGAGGCAAGGCAAGAGTAAGGATCTTTGTGGAAGTCTGCTGGGTGTTAAAGCACTTTTATCAAAAGTGGATTGGTAAAAGAGCCCTTTTGAAGCAATTTTGAACTTGCTGGAAGTTCTTACTCTTCTGTTTTCTTCTGTATGTTTTTTCAAAATGTGAGAAGATTGGTTAAAAATTCCTTTTTGTTGCTTCCTGACAAATAGGGATCATTTTGGCAACATAGCTAAGTAGTTTAAGAGATTGACACTTCACAAAGTAATGTCAAAAATGCATTTTATTTTCAAAGAAAACTAGTTAGGATATAAACTTCACTTGCTTGGGAGATAAAGTGGTGTTCCTAAACAGACTTTATTCTATACATGTATTTAATTTTGTGGCATCTGGGTAGTACCTAAATACAAAACATGGAAGGAATCAAGCTCTAGCATCTGTTACTTCTGGCCCCCACTGTATTTTTGGATTACTAGTGTTATTCATTCTTTGAGCTTGCCACTTATCTCCCTGGGATTATGATTAAGCACAAGAGCAAACTAATTTATCCAAAAAGTGCTGATTCATACACTTGAGAAATAACTGAATTGTAAGTGGAAAGCTGGAACTGGGGTTCAGCTGTCTGTACTGGGAGCTTTCTATCTATTCAAGTTTCTATTGAGAAAGTTCCTGGGAGGTACTGGAATGGCTCTCATTATTAGCAGAAAAAACGTTCCCT